AGGTCATTACCAGAGCCACCACGCACGCGCTCGCCAGGCTGGTAGGCACGAATGGTCCAATTTTCAGGGAGGTGGTTGTAATGATACAGTTTTAGCAATATTTCCTGTCAACTTCGCTAATCAGTCAATTTCAGAGCTGGGGGCACCCAAAAACTCACCGAGGTAATAGCCCGGGCACTGTTTGCAACCTCGCCCGCTTGCACCTATGAAGAAGAGAAGGTGAATCATGCGGGCAAAGGGAGAAGAATAATACTACCTTGCGCCTGCGGAGCGAGCACATGTAGGATGATACCTCGATGGAAATGGAAGGGTTTCCAACCATCAGCCCACCTCCAATATCCGACTCGTGCCATGTCAGATTGCCTAGACCACTAAGCCTCCCAAATGCGTATGTCATGGACGCCCGCATCTTCTGTGCATGCCCATAGGTGCCCCGCTCGACATGAGATGGCTTGGGTGTGCCATCGAGGTTGATTGAGTCACACCTGCCACAGAAACACGTTGACCATCAGCAATTGGTCATACTGGATGGAACCATACCACTCACGCACTCATGATCCAGGCCACGATCAACCACGGTGTATCAGACCGTGGCTTTTTGCTGAAAAAATCTTCGCTCGGCCCCAAGAGATGGAGGCCTCTGAGAAAGGACACACACGAGTTCATCAGCCTGTCAAGGATGAGTGCCACTTTGGCCGTTAACAAGAAAGAACCTCCCGCACCTCTTATATTCGGCATTGGTGCCCTCGTGACACCCTTTGAGGCCTCCATCAGCGTGGACTGCAATGTCGTATCGATCGAGCTGGTGCCAACTGCGTGACGCGACTCTGAAGTAGTGGACGTGATGTTCGTGTTGCTCTTGCATGGTTCAGCGAGCATAGTCTCTTGTTCCGCAGTGAAGTCCTCGGTGATGTCGTCCATTTCAGGACTGCTGACAGTAGCAGGCATGAGCAGGCCATGCAGACCTGGAAAGCTCTGGACAGCGTCGATGATAGTTGCCATTGTCAGTGGTCAACGTCTGAGTTGAAGAGGGCTGAGACCCCTTTGTTGCCAGGCCAATTTGCAATTTGGCGGGTCTCTGATATGCAAATGCAAACAATCAGCATGCGGGACAGTAGAAGGATGCCTCATGGTTGACATAACAGAGCGAAACTTGATAAGAGAGCTGGACCGTCCTATGACTCACATGCGACCGTCTTAGCGCCCATGAGGACCGTCTTTTTCGTGTCTGGCAGGCTCTGCTTTCCCTCATCCCCCCTGGGCTTTGCAGGCAGTTCTGACCGTCCACCAGAGGTTTCTTTGGCAGAAAAAGACGGTCTCACCTGCGTGACATCGTGAGCCCACATTCTTCCGAGAACAGTGACTCACCAACAGCCCAACGGCACTCGATCGTCATATCAAAAATCGGGCGGCACTCTGCGAGTCGTCGGCCCTTAGCAAGATTATTTTCAAGTTAGGTGCGTGGCAAGCAAGATCGAAGTCGTGTTACTTACCGTTGCATTGGTCGCCAAATCGCCCCGATCCCACCGGTCCAACGCTCCCGCAGCGGATCCGAACAGAGATGTCACTTAGAGATCTGCAGGAAGGGCCCAAACTTCGGGGAGCAGAAGAAAGGAAGGTTGACGGCACACTCATGCACCATATAACATGGGACTCACCCTCCCGAGCAATTGCTCTTCCTTTTCCCCCCACCACTCCATCCTCGAAATCCTGCCAGTGGTATCGATTCTGCAACCACACAGCCACACTCCTTTACTACATCCGTCCGTCAGCAAAACACGATGCCTTCGGTGAGTAACGCAAACCACCTACGATCCTCGATTTCCGCCCCTTGCCGTTCCGTGATGCGTGGCGTGTCAGTGTTCCGCGCTAGGCCTAGCGCTCTTGTTTTCCTCTTGCGTCCCCCAATAGAACCGGTTGGGGTTGCCAGGGGTTGGCTAGAGAGGGCTGAGCGAGCGAGCAACGGTGGATCCAGATCGGAGGTGCCTTGAGCTGACGGCCCGTATGGCATGGGCCCAGGAGGAGATGGGCGGGTCACGACCAGTAACGATTGGTCACGCGTGACTCGACCGTCGTTTTTCCGGTTTGAAACCATACTTCTTTCAATAATTCAAGGAAACACAGCGCAACGTCGAAGGGTCACGTGACACTACCAGTCGCGTGGACGTCACGTGACATGTCCAATTCGGGGGTGGAAACAAATCGGTCCAGGATATCCCCTTGCGGACACACTCATCCCTTCGGACGGCCAAGCTCCACTCCGGCAGCTCCCAGATCGACGAACCGTGATCACCACATTCCAGCGCCCATTGTTGGGGACGTCATGCGTCACTTGCTCTACGGATAGCAAGCGCATCCCGACTTCCACTCAGGATAAAATCATCTCAGAGCGGGCAGTACCCAAGGATGCTTTACCAGAGACAACGGTACGCCTGTGTTAATTCACGCCCCTCATCATCTCATCTCGTGTGCTTTTGCTCTCAAGGCTCATGTTTCTAATTCAAAGGCATGTTTCCGTCTTTGACTCTGATAACACAATTTGAGCGTGCTTCCTGCTACAGTCTAAGATCCTCCTAATCAATGCAAAGTCCATCACTATTCAACCCTCCCCGATTCTGATTTCTACAAGCGGCACCATAATTCCAAATCGCAACAAGGCCAAGTTGGAGGATACGCTTCTGTTAATTTAGTCAATGCTCACTTTAACAATACATAGGGCATCGATCTTGAGCCTTTGTCTAATGTTGCATGTCAGTTTGAGCACACAGCGCCACAGTGGATCAATCGAAGCTTCCCAGATTATCCTCGCGATATTGACCGGTGCTCACGGCGTGCAAACACGAGGTAAGTCCTAATTACCACATGTGTCGAGATGCTCAACACTTTCCTTAGAACTCCGCGAGAAATATATCAAAGTAGAAACTGCCATTCGAAAGTCCATCGACATTCAACTTCATACCTCCCCGCTTCGTCTACTCAACACCACTACAGGGCGTTTATGTGATCGAAGGGCGCAGATAAGCGCTTTCAAGACAAGCACAGAGTACAACGAGCTTCTGTCATCGATTATGGCGCATCCATACCCCCCATTGGGGCGCATCGCAGATGCGGTGGCGACGTACTTCCGTTACGTCATGTTGTCTCATAGATGGGGAGAGAACGAGCCGCTACTTTACGACATCCAGGATAAGGTCGTGTACAAGTCGAAGGCTGGCAGTCTCATGAAATTGCTGTCATTCTGCAAATTAGCTCGTCACGCGGGATATCACTGGGCCTGGGTCGACACGTGTTGCATCGACCAGAATAATAATGTCGAGCTCCAAAAATCACTCAACTCCATGTTTGTCTGGTATCACCATTCAACTCTCACGATTGTCTACCTCTCGGATGTTCCGCCTTCGGCCAAGTCTGGCGCATTGGCGAAGAGTGAATGGAACACCCGCGGATGGACCGTCCCAGAATTCCTCGCTTCTAAGCCATTCTACCAACAGGATTGGACGCTGTACCTCGACGACCACTCTCTCAACCACAAGGACTCTGTGGAGATCATGGATGAGTTGGAGGATGCGACGGGCATAGATGCACGCGCTCTTGTTGGCTTCCAACCAGGAATGAGAGATGCCCGAGAGAAACTCCAATGGGTGTTCGCACGTGTCACCACCGTGCCGGAAGACATTGCGTATTCGTTGTTTGGCATCTTCAACATTCAATTGCCCATCCTTTATGGCGAAAACGCGCAAAATGCGCTCGGGCGGCTCCTGCAGGAGATCGTGGCCCGGTCGGGGGACATCACCACCCTCGACTGGGTCGGACAACCGTCCGAGTTCAATAGTTGTCTTCCGGCCCACATTTTCTCATACGCAGCTCCACCATGCGCCCTCCCATATTTGTCTGAAGACGAGATTCAGACAGCGGTCTCTTCGCTGCGAGACACTGTCGCCGTTGACCAGGCTTTGCAACTTTATGCCCTGCTGGAGAACGTGAGCGCTCCTCGCTTTGCACACTGCAGACTGCATTTGCCTTGCATCTCCTTCCGTCTCACGGAAGTTAAATGGAGGCCTGGTCCAGCCCAAGAAACATCATTCACGTATGCAGTCAAAGCAGACGGGCTTAATGACCTGCTGATCACTATCGAAGGGAAGCTGATCCAATTCTCGCAGCTCAGGCCAACCCGACAAACATTCTTACTTGTCCTTCCGTGGGATCGTCGTCTCCTCGAGCTACCTGACTTCGCAGATGATGTGGAAAGCTTGGGAGATTGGCTTCGGCCCGAGTCTTCGCTAGATGACTCGGACGAATCCGTCGACGATTCGCCTGGAGAGGAGGAGTGGACTGATTTTGAATCTTACTCACGCGCATTGCGATTGATCGTTCGCCTCGGGCAGCCATTCAGCGCATTTTTGTTAGCGCAGCAGCGGGGCGGAGAATACAAGAGGATCGCATCAGATCACGATATCATTGCACAAGTCAAAGATGCGACGTCTCTTCATAGCATGGACATCAGAACCCTAGAAATATTGTAGCTGTATATATTTCTTATTTGGAAGACTCGGGGCTGTATTATCAGACTCAGCGGAGTTCAGCAGTCGCGGTTTGTACTTGGACGATGGATATGCATGCGTAGATACCCTATAATTCCAATCAAATTCAATCATACACCGGCACTGCCCTTCTATGAGGCAGAGATTTGTTCACTTTGTCAACACGCATGTGTTTGGTTGCAAGCGAAGGTACTCGTTGGTCTGGGATACACAGGAATATCACAGCAAATATCGGTCGATATTTACTTTCAGGTTTCGGAAACCTGAATATTGCTCCACGCAGGACATCTGCAAGCTGATCCAGGATCGTTAAAGGTGTTTGAATACCTTGTGGTTAACCCGACAACCCATGCAGGTAGGCCCATCAATGGTGTAGGACGGTAAAGTGCTTGTGCATGATGAATTGTCAGTACTTCAGTCTCCCTGAGTGACTAGTGGAGTTGTGATAGTTGTTATTCCTATGCGGGGGCTTAATAATTCTATACACTGACTATGGGAGGGGGCGAGACACATGAGTTGTGTTGAACGTCTACTTCAAGTCCGCTCACTAGTGCCACCTCAACTAGTCGCCAGGTACACAATGACCACCCGTGACCGTCCATCCGAAAGCTTCGCCAACGTAGGGCCAGCTTCAAGGTCAGATCAACGAAACTCTTTTAAAGTTCAACATTTGCGAGATGCCGAAATACCCGCAAAAGACAATGACGTATATAGTACTTCCTTCAGTGACATATTGGAAACCAACCCATACAAGCCATGATTCATGAAGACAAGAGATGACCTTGAGTTGCGACCAGGTTGATAATGCGACACGTCATAAGCATTATCGGTCACGCACCATCGCAATTGAATGCAGGGGGATGTGTTGTGGAAACTGTGGAGTACAAGATGGATGGACTCATGCGGAGAGGTGCAGGGAGGTTTATACCCACTGTGGAGGAAGGCGTGGACGATAACAGGGGGCATTCCTACTGCATGGAGGTATGCCAGTGGAAGCGAACAGCCTCGTGTCCTGAGCGTCTATGGTAGCCTAAGGAAGGCTAATGCGGTAGCATTGAAACACGCACCTCTGCAGGGACAACTTGAAGACATCCACAATCCTGTCCATCTCGACTGTACTCGACA